GTGGCACTGTTCACTTAAACTTCCACTTCTTTTTTGAGCTTTCCCTAGTTGGATAGTCTGATTGCTAGATATGTAAACTCTATCACTTTGTTCTTTTATCTTCTATTTTTAATTTACATCTTAGTAGATATGCAATTATAATCATAAATTTGGTCTTTTTGGGGGAAATTAACAAAATAATGTTATTTGTATAAGTTGTTTTTCTCCCATTTGATATCCCTTTTTAGTTATTACTTTTTTATTAGTTCATCCATTGCCAGCTTCAATTGGGTCAGTTCTTCTACTTTTTTACTTCTACTTTTCATGTCCGCTTAAGTCCACGAAGCATAAATATGTTGAATTGTTGTATTCTTATCATTTGTGTGGCACTTACTTCATTATAAATATATAGAGTCGCCGTCTTGGTTTCTAACTTTTTGTTGAATATACAAATTATTTGGACACAAATATGTAGTTTAAAATTTATGTTTTACAAACACGTTTTTTGTCGAAAAATGTTCTAATTAGCCTTCTTTGGTCCATCTTTTGGCATAGGCCTCCCCAATCCTTTTCCATTCTTTTCTGTCTGTTTTGGGGCCTTCCTCTGCTTTGTTTATATTCCCAGTCCCCAACTTATAAGAATTTTGTACCATAAGTCTTCTTTTTGTCTTATATTGTGTCCTGCAAATCTAAATTTTAATTTTGCAACTTTTGTTTGTCTTTCCAACAACTTTTGTAACAAGATTTGTCTTTCCATTGCCCTTTGGTTTTTATGATTTTGTCCATGTTTGCTTTTGTAAATTCCCACGTTTGGGAATCATAAGTGAAAACAGGGAGTACGCATTGTTTGTATACGTTGGTCGTAAGATGCTGTAAATATCTTTCATTTTTAAGAATGTAGCTTAGTTGGCCAAATAATACCGCCCATGCCAGTATATATATATATATATATATATATATATATATATATATATATATATATATATATATATATATATATTCGGAAAGATTTCCGCGGTTAGTACAATGAAACCTATAGCTAAGATTAATATTATTACTAAAATTAATATCAAACTCACCAGTCTTCCGGGTTTAACCGCGTCGATATCTATTTTGCCGAGCTTTCGGCATCCTCTCTGATGCCTTCCTCAGGGCTTTCGAGGTCTCAGTCTCCCGAGCCCCCAGACACACTAATTTTATTAATATTATTAATCTTAGCTCTAGGTTTCATATATATATATATATATATATATATATATATATATATATATATATATATATATATATATATATATATATATACTATATATATATATATATATATATATATATATATATATATATATACTTATATATATATATAGCAAAACTGGTAAGATTATCGACCGAAACGTAAATAACAATCTATTGTGTTGGAATATCGGGTATGCGGTCTGTTATTATTTAAAAAAAACTCTTTTTTTCTTTTAATCCTCTATATTTCGCTGATTTTTTGTCAGCTTCATCAGGAGACAAAGAATGTTTGTGTCCTGATATTCCCGATATTCCAACACAAATAAATTATATATATATATATATATATATATATATATATATATATATATATATATATATATATATAATCCTGAACTTGTTCTATTTCATCTTGTCCGATCCTCATTCTGATGTCTTCATCTGTATTTGTTATGATTTTGGTCTTGCTGTAATTCATATTAAGGCCTATCTTTGCAGCTTCTACGTTCAGTTCTTTCATCATTTCAAACAATTCTTCTTTTTATCGGTTATCAATACGATGTCATCAGCGTACCTTAGTTGGTTCAAGCGTTGTCCATAAATATTTATAGCTTTTTCTTCCCATTCTAATCTTTTAAAAATATCTTTTAGAGCCTGATTGAAAAGTTTCGTTGATATTGTGTCACCCTGTCTGACGCCTCTATTTGTATTGATTTTGTTCCTTCATATACTTTAATTGTTGTTTTGGCTTCGTTATATATTTTGTCTATTAGTTCCGTATATCTGTGGTCAAATCTGCTGTTAATCAAAGAACTTTTCGAAAAATGTTAGTTGAATATATTATGTGAAATTTTAAAAGAGTTTTATATTTTGAGTTATGTGATCCATAATAATATAGATGTCTTTTCTAACTATTTCTTGAGCTTATTGCTTTTGGAAAAAAGTTATAGTACGACCTAAAAGTCTTATTACGTTTCCCTTTCGTGCCTTCTCTAATGATTTCTGTGTCAGTTATTCACGCATTTCTATTCCTTCCAGGAAATTAATACTCCAGTCGTCAGAGACAAAAATGCCACTGAACCTCTAAAAATCATACGAACAAGCTAAATTTTGGAATCACAGCTAAATGGCTAAAAAAAATTGGCTAAATCGAAGGAAAAATCGATTTACCAAGAATTTGTATGTCGTAGAAAAGATGTTTCAAATAAAAAATGTAGCTGAGATAATTTTGAACAAAAATGTGTAATAACACGTGTTGTGTAGAATGAACCGTTTTCTCTAAGAAACAACGCTTGAAGCAGCCAGCGATTTTGAATGTGAGTTACATGAGGAAATCTATTTTAAATAAAATTTGTATCAACTCGACGTTAAAAATTCGATATCTTTGGATAAGAGTGTCCTATCGACAAAAATCAATATTAGTTTTAAAATTTAAGAGTGCTGCTTTGTATTTAATTTTTTTAACAGTTTTAATTGTGCAATTTTTTAACATTCTCTTAGGATCAATCAAATTTATCACTTTCATTGACAAAATTTATAATAAAATTTCGATTTTGGGTTTTAGCAATAAATATTAGGCATTTAAAATATGCCTTAAAACTACTTAATTTAAACTTTCACGTACAAATATCTAAAGTGTTGTTTCTAAAGTGCTATATTGCTAAAAACTGCTTCCTTTTGATTGCATAAGTATGTTTTTCGACACTACTCAACTTTAGCTACGAATTACAGTCATGCCTCATATTTTTCGCCAAAACTTAAAGAAATTTCGTGTTATAGATTTTAAAGATTAGCCTTTAACAATGAAAATTCTATTACGACTGGTCAGTGAACGTGATAAAATTTATTGATGAGAATAGTAAAAAATGGCAAGAATCGCACAACGTTTATTTATTTAAACATTTATAAAAACTTCATTTACGGCAAAATAGAAAAGTTGATAAAAATTTTATTAAAACGATTTTCGCACGTGTAATCGACATTCAAAATCGCTCCATGCTTTGTTTTGGAGAGAACGGTTCATTGCGCATAAAAAGTGCTATAATTTTTGTTCAAAATTATCTCAGCAATTTTTTTTAACATTTTTTATACGGCGTACATATTCTTGGTAAATCGATTTTTTTTTTCGTTTTTCCCCTCTACGAGTTTTAGGGGAAGACCGGGGGTAAAAACAGTAAATTTTTTTGTATTTTTTGGGGTCCTAAAATTAATATTCTTAGTAACATTCAGCTTGTTTATTTAGTTTTTGGAGGTCAAATCTCTGATGACTTGACTGTTAATATATTTAGAGGCTTTGTGTTGGGTAAATTCTGTCCTTCTATCAACAGTCAACGGAATTCTTTCCGGTGCAGTATTTTAAGAGTATCTGTATAGACGATTTATCATTTACTTTACAGAATCAGTATTCTTTACAACTATTACCTTTAACGTTTATGAGTTTTCTAGTCAACAATCAACTTTTTCTTGTTTGCCCATAGAAATCTTTTTAACTAAATCAAACTTTAAATCTGCTATAGTTATAGTTCTAAAAGTTCTAAAAGTGTTTTTGCTTGCCTTATGTATTCCCAATGTTTGGATCTGTTGCTATCTACTTTTCTTTCGATTTTCGTTCTCGCACATCTTTTGAATAGTCTACAATTTCGATGCCTCAGTACGGTATATACCGGAAACTATAATAATTATTTACTATTTAACTGGGAATAAGCCACAATTAAACATAAAAATACGTTTATTGACGTTTCAATTTCCACTTCGGAAATCGTTCTCAAAAATATTGTTACAAAAATACTGTTTGTATTTTGAGAACGATTTCCGAAGGACTTCCGAAGTGGAAATTGAAACGTCAATAAACGTATTTTTGTCTTTAATTGTGGCTTATTCCCAGTTAAATAGTAATTAATTTAAAATGCCACAAGAAAGTAGCTTCAGAACAATACAATAATTATGTTTTAAATTTTTCTTGCTAAGATCATTTGATCTTCCCAAACATTCCCATATAACTTTGGAGTTGATTTTCTGTGTAACTACCTGACATTACGACGATCTCTTAATAATTTTTGTTCAAATTTAACTGTATACTTATATATTCCAATAACGCGACTTTCCACTTTTTGCACCGATTTTCCGATTATTCAACTCTATAATCCCATTTATACTCCCGCATACCTCTATACTAGTTCCGTTTTCGGTTTTAGAGCCTTGATGACATTCTTGTTTAATTTAGAAAGACAAACACGTAATATCGAAGTTGGCAGTGGCCTTATAGTTATATTATAATATATTAGTAATGAATTCGAATGATACATAATTGAAATTGATTTTATCTAACAATAAATCACTGAAAACTTTTGTTTTCAAAACTTTATAGTCTTTATCTGAATAAGTTGAAGAAGGAGAGAAGTTGTTTGTCCCAAGTTGGTCATTTCGAATTAAGTCTGTTTTTTAATCTGTTAATTTGCATAGAGTCTAATTAAGATAGCTTAAGGTCTTTTGAATGTAAAGAATTTAAAATTTATAATTAAAAGAATGATTATGGTCTACAAGGTAAAGTGCGTACGGAGAATCTGTTTTTTATTATTGAAAACCCTTTTATGTTCTGGTATACATTTGATAAGAGTTCTACCAGTTTGACAGATGTAAGTTTTTGGTCAGTCTTCACATTTAAATTTGTAGACACCGCTGTGTAAATGCTTTTTTATAGTTATATGCTTTGGACGAATATATTCATATTGTATTTGACATTTCTGTTTGTTTTATTTTAAATTAGTGCTAATTATTTATATTTGCAGAGATGATGAAGGCAACCCGTATGTTTTACAAAGCGTTCGCAAAGCAGAATTAAAAATTATGTGCAAAAGTATGAATAAAGAATATGCCGGCATGATAGGCAATCAGGCATTTTGTAGAAAAGCCTTTGATTTTGCAATGGGAGAAGGTAACGAATTTTCAGAATGTGGACGAACTGTCTTCTGTCATACTATTGCCGGGTCAGGAGCAATATCTGTGGCCGGTGGATTCTTAAGTAAGTGGTTTCCACATAACAAGGTAATTTATATATGTGAACCCACCTGGCCCAATCATCATCGTATTCTTGAACATGCTGGAATGACTACGAAAACTTACAGGTACATGTATAATAGTTATCTATCTATAATATCTTAAAATCTCAAAATACAGTCTTCTTCTTTTTTTAGTTACATAATCGTTATCGATCGTTAGATATTATGTTGACTACCATATTCCCTACCGCTACTTTATCGACAGCAGCTCTAAATAATGATGTAGTCGATTTTTCTCATCCTTGTGTTAAATTTTTTAGCCATGATATTCTTCTTTTACAAGGACCACGTTTACATTGGTCGTTCTTTGAATGATTAGATGTAAAAGTTTATATTTCAGTCAGGCCATGGAGTTGCGATGTTCACATTGTAAAAATGACGGGCACTCCATCCTCCATGCTATGGCCTGCTAATCGAGCCATACGAGCCTTCACATTTTATTCTTTTTCTACTTGTCTTTGTCAATGAAATGTCTTTAATCTTTCCTATCACCATCTCGTAGTCAACTCTTTTTTCCGACCCCGAATGGCTATTAGGTTTCCGAAGTCAGATGGGTCACTATATTTCCTTCTACTACACACTCTAGGAAGGCAGCAGGAAACCACCTAGAGCCTAACTTTTCCGAAAAACAATCATGGAAATAGCTTTTAAAAAATACAATCTGCAGAGTTTTTAATATTAATTCCTGATTCCTGATTTCTCCTGATCTCCTGATTTTTTAGATTTCTCACATCATTTTAGACATTTCTTGAATGCACTGTCCTATACCGATCTTTGACTGTTTCGGAAACATTAAGTAATGCTCCCCACGAACCTCTTGATAACACCCTAACCGACAATAGAAATTTCTTTAAACGTTACTCAATATCTCAGATGTGATCGATTTAATCGCAAGCGTTATTCCTCTTCGTTAGTCAGCTAAGTCAGTGGGTTTAGTTTTGTATGTAATTACTTTTCAGATCTCCCCATAATAAAACATCTAATGGTGTCAAATCGGGGGATCGTGGTGGCCATTCCATCGATGGATAGATTTGGTAGTGGGGTGGTGCTAAATCTTGTTGAAACCATATTATATTCGCTGCAACCTGTGGGTTTCCTGGATCAGAATACAAATTGGCCAACGTTGGCACTACATTATTTTGAAGCAGTGCTAAGTAATTGTCGCTATTCAAATTCCCATCTATGAAAAAGCGACCTATGATCTGATCTTCAATCATTTCTGTCCAAACGTTAACCTTTTCAAGGTATTGAGTATTGTCTTCTTTCATATAGTAAAGATTTTTCTATACCAATAGCGGCAATTGTGCTGTGCACTCATCGGAAATTAAAACATGTTCTAATTGGATCACATTGCTGTCAAACATTGCCATCATTTGTTCACACAAAAACGTTCTCCTGTCAAAATTATCTTCCATGAGCTCTTGAGTGTGTATAATTTTATAGGGATATATTTTGTTTTCTTGTAATATTTGAATAACCGATGAATAGCTAATACAGAGTACTATGGCTGCTTTTTGAACAGATGTATGTTTGTCTTCCTCAAACTCAAGAATAACAGCCAATTTGGTATCCTCATTTATTGCATTGGAAGCTTCTTTTTTACCTTCTTAACATGGCTCGGCTCATAAAATTGCTTCCCTATTTTAGCAATTGTCCCTTGAGATATGTGCGGCAAATCACGAAATGCTTCGTAAAATATACTTCCATTTGCGCCCGTGTCTTATATCCATAGCCAATCATCTGTATATTTGTAATTTTGTGCATTTCTTTTAAACGAACCATTTTTCTGGCTTGCGGGTAATGAAATTCAAACGACTATAGTACTGACAACTACTTCTGTCATGGAACAATAAAACATTGGCGTTTTAAACCAACGTAAACAATTTTTCAAATTCCAAAAAGGAATGCTTAAATAGTGTTGACTTACTTTATCATTACCAAGACCTAAATGGGCAAGAAGTATTAAGTCAGTGGTAACGACTTTCGACCAATAAATAATTTACTTCTCTAAATGTGAATTTTTGCATTTTACTTAATATTTCCGAAACAGTCAAAGATTGGAATAGGACAGTGTATTCCAAAAATGTCTAAAATAATCTGAGGGATCTAAAAATTAATTAATATACAGGGTGTTCTATTTAAAATAAGCAAGTTGGTATTGGCCACCGTTATCTGATACACCCCGTATAAAAAGTTTTTATGGAAAAAAATGCGCAACTATAAATACTAATCGACGTGTTAGACCGTTTTTTTGAATACTTCCTCATTTATTTAGCTAGCTAATTTATTCCATTTGGCTGAAACACCCAAATTCCATATATATATATATATATATATATATATATATATATATATATATATATATATATATATATATATACATATATGTATATATATTAGTATACTGGTAAGGTTGATTAGGTTAGCAGCTGAACAGCTGCTAACCCAATCAACCTTACCAGTATACTAATTAATAATTGGACAGCTGTGATCATTCTTCGTTTATGTATATATATATATATATATATATATATATATATATATATATATATATATATATATATATATATATATATATATACATGTATATTACATAATTATATTTAATTAGAGGAATTAGATAATGGGTACTGTACAACAGAAAGATTGAGGGAAAAAGAGGAATTGGTAGGCAGAAATATTCATTGCTCCAAAACCTTCGTCGATGGACTGACTTATTATCATAGATGAATTGTTACATGCCACGTAAGATCGAGAACAATATCGGCAAATAGTAATGAAAGCTACCCACGCCTAATTTCGCCTCACTTTCTGAAGTCTTCATCAGGACTTCTGGGCTGTTTAAGTCTCCTGGGCTCTCAGATACTTTTACCTGTACACTTTGTTGATGATAACGTAATTCACTGGCGTAGCGTTTGGGTGGGAGTTGGTATTAAGGTTCTTAACGACGAGAAGTGGATGGATAGACGAAGAGGCCAGGATTTCTGTAAGAGAGGTATCGATATCGAAGGCAGCTGTATGCCGTTCTCTCTTTTATTGCGACAATTCAGGCGCTTTTCAATCTCTATGGCTCCTTGGATATTACCTGGTTTATAGAAACGCGCTATGGTTCTGGAATTTTTAAAAACAATTTTGGGATCTGTACGAAGAATTGTTGTTACATTTTTAATAGTTACTGTTTTCAGAACGTCAGAAATTAACTGAAATCCCTACTAAAAGTCTTGTACCTTTTTAGAACATAGTTTTGAAAATTTATCTCTACTGTATTACCTGTAATTTTTTTGTGGTTTTTCGCTACTTTATTTTTTTTTGTTTATTGCTAGGCATTTCTTGTACATCGCACATCGCCTTGAACAACTTTACAAATTAATATAAGGTTGAATGCTCGAATAAATAAACTTTGATAATATACAAGGCAAATACCGAGCACAGTATTCATTAATCTTGCCCAAGTACTTTCGATCACTAGATCATCTTCAGGGGCATTTCGTCAATTGCGGCCTATCCGCAATTCTACTCTTGTCGGATAGGCCGCAATTGACGAAATGCCTATCGATCTAGTGATCGAAAGTACTTGGGCAAGATTAAATTAATACTGTGCTCGATATTTGCCTTGTATATTATCAAAAAACTTTACAAATTCTTCTTTTAAACTGTTTGGATTTCTGCTCATCAATGATATGCCATTAGCATACGCCACTAGTTGAAACATCCATACTATAATTTTACCTTTTATTTCTCCAGCTCTAATCATTTTGATAGTAAATCGTAATCCAGTTGATATTAATTTCTATAATTTTGTAGAGATTATCATCCATTATGATTGCTGCCGTCCATTGTCATTTTGCCGATCCGTCCATTGTTTAGCAAAATAAATGTAACACGCATTCAATGCACTGTCTTGGCTATTAGGTTACATGTCATAACTTATTCTATTTAAGCTTGCTTCGTTATATATTTTGCATCCCTGATAATATCTTTTATTTTTTTACTTTTAAAAATTTATTATTAAGTTAAAGTGATTCCATATTGATACTCTTTTAAAACTCAATTACCTATTCAATCGACGATATTATGTGCGATGAATAATACTATACATAATATGTATTTTCAGGTATTACAATGAAAAAACATTGGCTTTGGACTTTGAAGGTATGAAGGACGACCTGAACAAAATACCCTGTAAATCCATAGTGTTGTTTCACGCCGCAGCCCACAACCCCACAGGAGTCGATCCTACGCCGAAGCAATGGGATGAAATTGTAGCTATTTGTAAAGAAAGGAAATTTTATATTTTTGTTGATTTCGCATATCAAGGTTTTGGTTCTGGAGATCCCGATATGGATGCGTACCCAGTGCGTCAGTTTGCTAAAGCTGGCCTTGGTATGGCCATATGTCAAAGTTTTTCCAAAAATATGGGTAAGCTTACAGATTTTCATATATTTTCTATTGTTTTATTACACTCTATTAACAATTTTCCGAATCCTAATAATCAATTAATAGTTTTGTATCAACATAAATTATTTTTATTCAATCTTTATACTATGTAATATTTACACTAGTGAGTGTACATAACCCGGATTATGTTTTACTTTAAAAAATTTAACTCTACTGTGATAAACAGTTTTAGGGTAACTTTCTGATATAAACTAAGGAGTTCTGCATGTTTCTTAAGATCAGTCTTGGTGCTAACGAATCATCAAGGATGATCCGGAATATTGCTGAGTAAACTTTTGCTATAGCTTTAATTATATGTAGTTTGCTACTGACCTGATTGTTTTAAATTCAGAACGATGGAACAGTATCAAATTATTTTCTACGTTTGTGTTGATTTCTTCACATACAATGACCTCTATATAACAACTTAGACCATCAGAAAGGGAGGAGAATGTTTATGTTTAATATAGAACTCGCTGGTGTCTCCCTTTGACTTTGGGTATGTATATTACTATAAATAAGTAAACAAAGGCAAAAGAACTATAAATAAACTATATTAAAAGCATGTAAACAGAATAAACAAATAGCATACACACATAAGATTATAAGTCCAATTAAAAATACGCGTGATCAAAATACGAAAACCAGTAGTTAATTATAACCCAAATTGCTTTACAGAAGGTAAGTAAACAAATTAGCGTAAAAATACAGCTCTTTTCTAAAACTAAATATTATAACACGAATTTTAAATATAATCTATATCACACAAACCGCACGTCTACAAAATCATCAGGAGTATGCTAGAATTAATACGACAAGAAAGGTCAGTCGTAATGACTTTCGCAGCTGATTGTTACATAAATATCCATGTAAAGTAAAATTATCATTTTGTATATAAGACAAATATCATACAAAAGGTAACACAAAACTACAATTATCAGATTATACCATAAATAAGTGTTTAACTAAAGGTGAAATGTTCTGTGAAAAGAGAAAATAGACTAGCGGCGGAAATGCTGAAGAATGAAGGCAAAGAACTACAAAAAAAACGATATGTAGTCTTATCAACAGGATATGAGAAGAGGAAAATATGCCCAAGAGTTGGACCAAAGCTTTATTATGCCCCATATACAAAAAAGGAGGATAGATTGGCATGTGAAAATCTTAGAGGTTGCTCTGTTAAATACCTGTTACAAGATATTAGCCAGGATGGTAAGAGAGAGATTTTCTGATGATAAAACTCGGTTAGTAAGAATGACTCTGAATAGGACACGAAATCATGTAGTATAAAAAAGATTTTCGTGGAATAAGTTTAAAGTGAATAGAAGTCTTAGATAAATAAGGAGTTCCGTTATCCACGGTGCTTTTTAATTTGGTATTGGAAACAATAATCAGAAATGGCAGAGTTAAAACGACTGGAACTATTCTTAAAAATAAACATCAATGTTTGGCCTTTGCTGATGCGTTTCCTATTCTAACGAAAACAAGAAAATATTATCGAAACGTTACCAAAAGATTAGAAAACGAGGTAACGTATTTTGATCTAAAAATAAACCAGAAAAAGTCAAAATACGTGATACTCGAAAGTAAAGAGCAAAAAGAAGAGGGAGAGTTTACTTTCATATCTAATGAATCAAAGAAATATAATTCCAAGAGACTGAAGCATTTTACTTATCTTCTTCTTCTTTGGGTGCCGTATCCGTATTCAGACGTTGGCCGTCATCATGTTTACAATTTCCTGAAACCTTTCTCTGTCGGCTGCTGCGCGAAATAATTCTTCTACTGTGAAACCACACCATTGTCTAATATTACGCAGCCATGAAAGTTTCTTTCGACCAATCCATCTCTTTCCTTCCACTTTTCCTCGTGTAATAAAGCGAAGTAAATGGTATTTAGGTTCTCTAATTATATGGCCGAAGTATTCTGTTTTTCTCCTCTTTATGGTGTTTAATTATATGGGTGTTATTAAATAGAAAAGAGTAAGGTCAGGAAGAATGGCAACTTAATGAGAGATTGGCAAAGGGAAATAAAAAGATGGGAAGCCTAAAACCACTGATAAATTTCAAAAATTTATTAAAAAAACAAAGGTAGGTATATATAAAATAGTAATAAGGCCCACAGTGTCATATGGTAGTGAAGTATGGACAATGAAAAAATCAAATAAGGAGAAATGGGAAAGGAAAATGCTATATATGGAGGAAAAAATGGTGGAAGGTTGGATGCGACGAACAAACAGGGAGCTCGAGAAACTACATAACGAACCAACCAATCAGTTGCTTTATAAAGCACAGAGAGTGAGATGGATGGGGCACGTGATAAGATGGGAAAGAAAGAGGATGTTAAAGATGATTCTAAAGCGGGACCCAATTATGAAAATAAAGGAAAGGACAACTCAGACAATGTCCTTGATGCTTCTGAAGAAAGAGCAACAAACAGCGATGAAAGTAGGAGAATAGTAAGCCAATTTAGTAAGCAAAAAGCATGATTGGACAAGAAGCCACTCTAGTTGATACCAGTTTTGTAATATATAAGTGTTATAAACTTTATCAATTACCCTTTGTTAACAACAATGTATAAAGGAACAGTCTTTTGTTTGCAACAGTGTATTAACAGCCTTCAAATTTTTCAATAGTGTCTGTTTTTATAAGCGGAATCTTGGCTTACTATACGGAAATAATCAGAAACTAACAAAAAGTCTGTTAATAGTTTAACAATGTTTATATTTATTTATTTATCGTAAATATAAACATTGTTAAAATATTAAGAGACTTTTTGTTAGTTCTGATTATTTCCGTCTAGTAAGCCAAGATTCCAAGGTATAGTAAGCCAAAAGTAGTTTAACAATGTTTATATAAATTTGCGATACTGCAATAATTTGATCTTTTCGTAAAGATTAGGTATGACAGATTAGAATATAGTGAATATACTGTATTCATTTTTTGTATGCTTTTTTTAGATGCTTGTACTGATTTATAATTTTCGTTTTAAATATTTTAATTTCAGAATTTCTCGTGCCATCGGATTTTATTCTGGAGCTTTTTACGGATTGCAAATATTAAAGTTTTCCATAATTGTATTACTGGTGGTGACAACTTTTAACTATTCGGTAAAAATATGTCTTTTTTTGTTATAACCAAGCCAGTTGGTTCCTAAAGAAAAAATATCAAAACAAGTTTCTTTAATCGCTTTATTGCTTTTTATGGAATACTCAGGGCATGGCAAGATCAATCGTAAAGTTACCGATCAATTGAAAAATCCACTTAATATTTATATCATACGGACTAGTCTGGTATCATTAAAATATTTTTTTTTTCATTATTTTTATCATCTCTTCTTCTTATTGCGCCGACTCCTTTCGAAGGTTGGCGAACCAAATGGTAATTGTAGCTTTATAAACTGTTGCACAAAATATTTCTGCAGATGAGCGCTTAAACCATCTTCTGAGGTCTTTCAGCCACGAGTTTCGGCTTCTTCCTACTGATCTTTTGCCCAGTACTTTACTTTTCAATATCATTTGGAGTAATTCATATCTTTCACCTCTCAACATATGACCCACGTATTGTATTTTTCCCTCTTTGATTATTCTTAGTAACTATTTTTGTTCACTCATGCACAGAAGTACGTCATCATTGGTAACTTTTTGTTACCAAGTTGCTGGAATTTTCAACATCCGTCTGTTTATATACACCTCAAAGGATAGTAGAGCATCATTATAGCTGTTACCTTCCATTTTTTGTTACATACTATACAACGTGTTTTTAAAGTCTTCTTCTTGTCTTAGATAAAGTAACTGAACTAGTTATACTCCCATTCATACTTATTTTTTAATAATTTTTTGGTCCTATTTGTTAAAATTATTGAATATAAATTTTAGGTTTGTATGGTGAACGAGCTGGTCTAGCTTCTTTCATCTGCAAATGTCCAGATGAAGCAAAGAGAGTGGAGTCCCAAGTAAAGCTAATAGCAAGGTCTATATACTCCAATCCTTCAATTAATGGTGCCCGAATAGTGTTAGAAATTTTATCAGATAAAAAATTAAAGAAATTGTGGCTAAAAGAGCTCAAGCAGATGGCTTCGAGAATCCATTGGGCCAGAAAAACATTAAAAGAAGGAATGGCCAGAGCTGGATCAACTTTGAATTGGGATCATATAACCAACCAAATAGGAATGTTTTCGTATACCGGTATAAAAGGTCCTGCTGTAAAAAAACTAACAAAGGACTACCACATATATATGATGGAGAACGGAAGAATATCCATTTCAGGGATTAACACCAAAAATGTCGATTATGTCTGTAAAGCCTTTCATAGTGTCGCTACTCACAAAAAATAAGTGTTATTTAGTAAAACTATTTTGAAATATTAAAAAATCGAAATATTATTATGATGTATATTTTGATATTAAAAATAAAATTTTTGATGTATTGTCATGTGTAAGACTAAATTATTTTTATTTTTTTATTTTATTTCATTTACTTTCGTTTAAAAAAAAATAAACATTTCGTACCAATTATTTAGCAGCTAATTTATGGTGAGTATAGAAGTACTTTTTGTTAAAACTAGCGTGAGACTTGGCGATTTTGCCCATCTGCGTAGAAAACTATGAGGACGCATTCGGAAGACAAGAGATTATACATAATGCGCTATCTAGCCTCGTTAGTATAATCTTTACAAGTTTACAAAGTGTGAGCTTAATTTTTAAAGGAGCTTCTCAAATAGAAAAATAATTCAAAATAAATGTTGTGGGAAAAAAGAGATCTGTATCTGTAGAATGTGTTGTGACAAAAATATTTCGGTAATTATTGTATAACAATAAAGTTATCGTTTAAATATAAAGTGATTTATATCTACTTCTTTGAGTACCGTGCCCTAATTAGACGTGGGTAGCTTCCATTACTATTTAATTACTATTTAATTTATCTGGTGATAAACCAGGCCACTGACGAAGATTTCGGAGCCATGAAGTGATTGATACACATTTTTCTAAATGTTAACATGTGTGGTCTAATCATTTTCCTCTAAACTAAAAATTACTTTGAAAACAAATATAACTTGCCCACACAAGAATCTTAAAGATAATTTTATTTTTAACTTTAACTAACCACAAAAGACGAGATTAAAATTAAATTTCAAAAGGTTCGTTCGACATTTCGTCCAACCTAACGCCCCAATTATTATAGACAGATTAACTGTGAGATCTGGATTATGTAATCTACTTAAAATAATCTATATAATTTCATATTTCATCAGTTGATTTCCTATAGTAGTGTCAGTTGAACCTTTGGTCAATGCTTAGTTTCATAGAATTTTGATATGTGCAGATGACATCACCATGATTGTGGCTGCTCATCGAAGCTGTCATATGTCACATATCACGTTAAAATTTCCGTTAAGACCAGGAGCCAACCTCTATCCTGATGCCAACCGTAAAGTAGCTTCTCCTTTTTAAAAATTTTAAACTGTTTGTCCTTGTGTAGTGTAAGGACACATATAAAAACTTTTATCAACCTACAACTTTTTTTTTATTGAAGTTAATTGATTTTCTTCATTTAAATAAACGTTTCTTGGCTTATTTCAGATGTCAACATGTTTTAGGAAGCGAAAGTACTTGGGCAAGATTTTATTAGTAAATTGTGCTCGATATCTGCCTTTTCATTTGATCAAAGTTAATTTTATTTAAAATCCGTAAATTAATTTTCGAAACCAAATTCAGATTTTTACTTAAATCTGTGCCTTCTAAGAATTGCAAGGCAAAACAGACGTTGATAAAGATGTTATTAGAGACATGGGGAATCTAAAATTTGTATTTCACGACATATCTCCTCAACTAAGCAAAAATCCTTAGCGAATTGGTTTCTAGTACTCGTACAGAGTAATCGGAATAAAAAGGAAAAAACAGTTAGGATTTGATTTCACGTATAGTGTGTCAATGTATTCGCTTATACGTATTTCGGCCTAATAATAGGCGTCTTCAGAACGGAAATTCATAGTCGCTCTGAACGTGAAAATAAATCTCGTCTGTCTTAGGAAGCAACTCTAACATGACTTCGCATGGACGCAAATAGCGACATCTGATATTAAAATCCGTAAACTAATCTTCGAAACCAAATTCAGATTTTTGCTTATATATGCGTTATAGAATGTAAAACGGGACGGACATTGATTCCTACCACAATTCTGTTATCGTCAAAATCTCAAACTGAAGAAAATCAAACGCAGAGAGAATGTATAACCTAGCCTCGAAAATTTTAAAGATCCAGCAGTACAGGCAGAGATAGAGAAAATACTCAATGGTACACTTAAAGAAAAATTCAGTGAAGCCCCCGCGGTAGCAGAAGAAGCAGTACAAAGTATTTGGCATACCTTCTAAACAACAATAACATTTATACACACAAAACAACTACCGCTCCTAAAATGCAATGAAGTAAAATATAAAGAAACCCAGAGAACCATCCGAAAGAAAATCAGGAAAGCCAAAGACGAATGGATAAACAGCAGATGTGAGGAACTGAGGGAATTACTAAAAAACTTTAACTACTTCAATGCACACAAAAGATTAAAGAAGTCACAAATATGAAGAAAAAATTCACTACAATAACTCCATAGTAGATGATAAATAGTATCTAGCCCAGAAAATGTAGAATATATATGGAAAAAATACATGGAAGATCTGCACATAGTGTGCATTATCATTTAATAATAGCGTATAATAGATATCAATCAATTATTTTATATGTAGAAGCACTGAAAACTATTTATAAATGGCAACGGTATTTACATTACTTTGTCTTATGGCTCTACGTCAAACTTCAAATGCTGTGCTGTTCAATGTTTGTTTACTGTTTACAGTAGATGAGGAAAAGTTGTTTTTCGATATTTTGGCTGTATTTTGAATGATATTTGTGAAAAGTAAAATAAACATATTATAATAATGGTGCGACAGTGTTGCATTTGCAAAAAAAAAAACGAAATATTTACATCCCGATCTCTCATTTTATTTGTAAGTACTGTCTATTTACATTATTTAAGCTTTGGAACTGAGGAAGCGTGTTTGTTTACATTTTAAAACCAGTCTTTCATAGGCGTACCATTGGGTTTATTCATGTTCATTAATGTATTAAATAAGATATGAGTTCATGAAATTAGTAGACATTTTTAAATTGTAAGTAGACATCATCTGATTAAAAAATATCTGTTTAGTACCTTTTTAATTTAATATTTCTCATGGATACAGATAAATAAGTGAAATAAATAAAACTCATTTATTTTTCTATCTAGGTTTCCAAATAATATTGACGATCGAACTATTTGGTTATCAAATTTAGAAGATAACATAAAGATTTTTTATTGTAGCATTATTTTATACTATTACCTATAAAATTACCTATTGAAAAATTAACTTGAATTCAACTATATTTTATTATATTATTTTAAAGCAAATAAAATTGTATTTTAATTTTTCTAGAAAGACGTGATTTGTTAATAGTTAAACTCTCGTTTTTTTTTTTAATTCTTTGAACGTGTTTTTATACATTATTACTACTTCCAATTTTTAAAGTCTAAATAATTATCCCCGCGAGTGAAAATTCAAGCACGCTTATGCTCATTGAGGAAGCATCACATTCTATCGAAGCTTCAAGACATTGTGTGTTGAAGGTATCTTATTGCTGTGTCCATCTGTATTTATACGTCCATGGTATAGACCATAACACGGTGGCTCTTATTAAAAACTTATATTGGAATCAAATGGCGTCGATTAAAATAGACAATTGTATGACAGCAGAAATGTCAATAAAAAGAGGAGTTCGCCAGAGCTGTGTACTTTCTCCACTATTGATTAATATATATATTCAGAAAAGATCTTCCAAAATAACCTCGAAAAAATTGAAGAAGGAATAAAAATAAACGGAGAATATGTAAACAACTTAAGATACGCAGACGACATCGTCATTATTGCGGACAGTGCTAAGGGTTTGCAATTACTTTTGAATGCCATAACCAGAGAGGGAGATAGCTTGGGGCTGAATATAAACACAAATAAAACAAAAGTAATGGCCGTTACACATACACCAAATGCCGACGTTAATATTCGTATCTACAAGAAACAGATATAACCCGTACAAAAATTCCAGTATCTTGCTTGCTGGATAACAAATGATCTGGACGACAAAGTTGAAATACGTGCTCGTATAGAGTATGCTAGTTCCGCTTTTCAAAGAATATATTGCTATATGGAGTGGAAACATGGACTCTCGGAATCAAAAGTAAGAGACATGTAGAAGCCTTTGAGATCTGGGTTTTTCGAAGGATGTTGAAGATCTCTTGGATAGTGCACGTGACCAACAACGAGGTGCTGAGGAGAATCGGGACTGAGAGAGAACTCCTAAATATTGTAAAAATCAGAAAAAACGAGTTATCTATGACATATTTACAGAGGACAAAAATGCAACTTCCTACGACTGATAATGGAAGGGAAAGTGGAAGGAAGAAGAGGTACAGGACGAAGAAAATGCTCCTGGCTGAAGAATGTACGAGACTGGGCAGGCAAGGACACACATTCGATACACACTAATACTAATTTATTCTAGTTTTTAAAATATTTTATCATACCTAAACTCATTACATTACGAGATATTGTTAGTTTTTTTTTTAATTTCGGGAATATTTTTGATTTTTGTATGTAGAGATAACTTAGTCTTGTTTAATAATACAACCAAATTATTTTTATTTAAAAAATAACTAATATAAAATATAAACCATAACAACATGCAATTAATGTAATGATGAATGTAATATTAAGGAAATGAGTCTAAAATAAATGTTCGAAATGTCACCTCTAACGTCTAAGCAAGTTCCTATATTGTGATAAATTAGTCTGAAGTGCAGCAGCTGACATGTATTTGTCAAAAACGTCAAATTCTTACTAAAATACATTTTTGGAATAAATTAAAGTAAAATGTCCAACGTAAAAAGTTTTGGAGGTGCAAAATTTTTAGTACCAAATTTATGTATCAAATCCCAATACCGAAATACGGCTTGGTTTACAAAAGTTCCGAAAGCTGCTCCTGATCCAATTTTTGGCCTTCTAGAGGCCTATTTGCATGACCCTGCGAAACAAAAAGTAAATCTAACTGTAGGAGCATATAGGTTAGTAAATACGTTTTATTGATATGGAATGTATGTTGGACATGCAATGTTTTGTGGTTATGTAATTCTTATGATATATAAATACTTTAAGAAGGGAAATATTACACATGAATTTTCAGAGTCTGTCAGTAATAAAATATATTGTGCTATAACTATTTGGTAAATGCCTAACTGGTAAAGATACTTCTTAATAATTAAATACATGTAAGAAACAGATAATAACAAAATACTTTCGTCACTCATATTCCTTCATTTACTAATCTATGACCACCCCAACAACATTTAACGGCCAGTATGAAGTAAAATATTTATAACACGATATGGAGATTTTACTAATTAAAAGAATAATTTCCCTAGGTAAATCATTTGCGATTAATACGTTAACTCGGTGTTCTTGCAGAACATAATTATCCTCTAAAGACAGGTTTATTTTTATACTGCATTTGACACTTCTCTTGTGACAGATAATAAGTAACACTTTACTATTATTAATTGTATGCTGATAATGTAATGTGAACAAGAAATTCTGATAGATATTTAGAGCAAAGGCTAAAAACAGTGGAATGATATAAGGTTGAATGCTCGAATAAATGAATTTTACTCAAATAAAACGCAGATATCAAGCACAAATTTTAATAAATCTTGCCCAAGTACTTTCGCTCCTAGAGTATCTTCAGGGGCATCTGAAAAATGAGAAGAAACATTTTTTCAACTGAAGAAAAATTAATAAACTTCAAGAAAACTCGAAGTTGATGGTTGATAAATTTTTTTTGTAATACAATGTTTTAGACTTAATTCGTCAAAATTAGGTTTTAATAGAAATAGAATGTTTAATAAACAAACAGATTCTACATACGCACTTCACCTTCTAGATCACAATCATTCTTTTAACGACGAATTTAAAATGCTTCACATTCAAAATAAAGGCCTTAAGCTATCCTTGTTAGAATCTATGGAAATTAACAAATTAAAAAACACAGATATAATTCTGAATGACCAACTTGAGACAAACAGATCTCCCCTCCTTAACCTATTTCATTAGCGGCTATAAAGTGTAAACGCATGACAAAAATAGATCACTTGAGAAAGGCAACCAACCGAAACAGCTGTAGTGATAAGAGTTAAAATAAATTTTTGTGGAAGTTTAACAACAAAGTTTTCAGTGTTTTATTGTTACAGTTTAAAAATATTTAAATTGTTTGTTCGGGCTGTTAGGCCGTTGTCTTCTGAGATTAGTTCTAGACGTTTCGCCAACACTAGGGGTTGGCATCTTCTCGAAGATGTTACTTCTTTGCTTGTAAGCTGATACTGACGCCGGGTTGTACTACGGAGGCCTTATATATCTTTTCTACTCGCCTCTCCTCCACTGGTGTCGTCGTTTGTAGCTTTTCTTTTTTCGTATTTTGCGGGAAGGGTATTTGTGGATTTTAATATTGGTATCCACGTTTTGTTAATTTTTAGTCCTTCTTCTATTCGATTAAAATTATTTGGATGCTTATATATTTCCACCGCTTCCCAATATAACCGTGGGTAGTACTGTGATATTTTTTTTTTCAGCATCTGCGTTTCTTTAAACAGTATCCGATGTTCTCCGCTTCCCAAAGCGTGTTCGACAACGGCAGATTTGTGGATATGTTCTAAACGACCATGGCTTTTATGTTCGTTTATCCTTGTGTTTATGTGTCTTTTACGTCTAAATATGGCCTCCGTAGTACAACGCGTCCTCAGTTTCAGTTTATAAGCGAAGCAGTAACATCTCGAGAAGATGACAACCCCTAGTGTTGGCGAAACATCGAGAACTAACATCGAGAAGACAACGGCCTAACAGCCGAATAAACAGTTTAACAAGTTAGTTAGACGATGGCCGTGAAAGCTAAACGCATTTTATCAGTTTAAAAATTATTATAAATTCGAAGAAGCTACTTATTGGGTGACGACATCAGGAGAGAGAATGGCTTATGGTGCTAACGGAAATGTTAACGTGATATCTGACATAAATATGACAACTTGGATGGGCAGTCACAATCATGGTGATGTGATCTGCACATTTTAAAATTCTATGAAACTGAGCATTGACCAAAGATCCAACTGACATCACTATGGGAAGTCAACCGATGAAATATGAAATTATATAGATTACTTTATGTAGATTGCATAATCCAGATCTCACACTCAACCTGCCAGTGATAATTTGGGTGTTAGTTTTGGGGCAACTGAAGTGGACGTAGAGTATGAATGTAAGAAATAGACTGAACAATCTATTAGATGGTGGAGGTTGACTTAAATAAAAAGGTCTACCAAACACTACCAATAGTGTAGAAAAGAAGAAATCGAACTATGAAATTGAAATACTTAGAAATAAATTGAAAGCAAAGTGTATAAGTGGGGTAAAATACCAATAGTTTAGTTAAACCCACAGCCAATGGAAGAACCATAAAATTAAAATGTCAAAGCATTACTCAAGACCAACTGTCCAACAGTGAGAGAAGTTAAAATATACAACTGTAGAGATGGTATATCTAAATTACAAAAAAAAGATATGGAGAGTGTAATCAACGCCAACTATAGATAAATTTATCCTAAACAAGGTTGTTTTGCAAGTTATTAAAGAATAAAATAGTAATATTAATTATAATATGAAATTATTATATTCTTAATGGGTATACTCAGTGCAGGAAGTCTAAACAGTCGAGCTGGGTCTCCTACGAGGTGAAACTACAATGCAGTTTTTAAAAGTAGGTTTAAATTTATTCCAATTTAAATTAATTTGAGTATTAAGACAGTGAGAATTCTCATTTGTTTTCCTTGTTATTTACAAATCTTCCAATAAATCCAACCTTAAGTAGTTTTCTTTCTGCTAATGTCATGTAAAATAGATGAACCAGTAGTGATGTTAAATTTATGTTACTGGATAATAAATGGTGACCAAAACTTAAATAGTTTGGTCTTTTCAAATGTTCTGTGATTCTAGTATATAACTTTTGAATAGTTCTACCTACATAAGAGGCATCACAATCATCACATTTAAATTTATAAATACCACTTTTGTCAGGAGTGTTCATACTATCTTTGGTATTGGTTAAAAATGAACCTAAAGTGTTGTGTGACTTAAAGGAAATTTTGATGTCGTCAATTGTAGAAGTAAAAATTTTGATATTTTTTGGCAATGTTGCTGATATAAGTAAAGGAGAAATATCTGATATTATTTGTGGTATTGAATTGAAGCAAACATTGTGATGAATAAGCAAGCTTTTTTGCAATTTCAAGTTCAGCTCTCTTTAGAAGCTTATGAATTAGGACCGTAACCATTATTAAAAGCAGTTTGTAAAAGTGTATCTACTGTATCAAATCCTATAACACCTAGGTTATATGGACTTCCTAGAATTCATAAACACAATTGTCCCATAATGCCTGTTGTAAGTAACACTCCAGTTCCTATATTATCAGAGTTTATTTACTAATTAGTCTATCACCTATTTTAAATCTAAGTTTTCCATTACAAATTCTTTTACAATCAAAAAATATATAAACAACCAACATTAACACCTTTTTTTGGCCAAGATATGTGGATGATTGTATAGTTCTCATACAGGGAACACAAGATGATGCTTTACAGATTCTGGATGATCTTAATAACCTCCATCCTAACATCTCATTTACACTGGAATCAGACTCTGACAATGAGTTAAACTTCTTGGATATGACTTTATCTTGTAAAAAAGATTCTCTAGAATACAATATTTACAGAAAACCTACTTAAAGAGATCATGTTATACATGAAACATCTAATTATCCAACCCAACATAAAATGACTACTTTCAACAGTTAACGATTTCCGAAGTGGAAATTGAAACGTCAATAAACGTATTTTTATCTTTAATTGTGGCTTATTCCCAGTTTAATAGTAATTAATTCAACAGTTACATTTATAAGCTACTCAAAGTTCTACTTTCTAATGAGAACTTCACTTAAGAACTTAATACTCTCAAGCCAATTGCTTCCAATAATGGTTATGATCCCAAAATTATCTTTAAGCTTCTAAATAGAGCTAAACTTAAAATTGCAGAAACGCTTGATTATTCATCACAATGTTTGCTTCAACATAATGCCACAAATAACATCAAATATATCTCCTTTACTTATATCAGTAAACATTTCAAAAAAAATATTCCAAAACTTTTTACTTCTACAATTGAAGACATCAAAATTTCTTTAAAGTCACACAACATTTTAGGTTCCTTTTTAATCAACACCAAAGATAGGATGAACACTGTTGACTAAAGTGGTATTTATCATCATCATCTTCACCCAATCCTTTGCGTCCACTGCTGGACATAGGCCTCCCTCATTTTTGTCCATTGTGCTCTATCTTGAGCACTTTTCATCCAATTTCTTGACATTTTCTTGAGATCATCAGTCCAAAGAGTAAGGAATCTTCCTCTACTTCTTTTGTCTAACCTCGGCCTCTACACAAGCAATCTCTTCATCCACCTTTCATCACTGATTCGAGCGACGTGTCCGGCCCAGTTCCATTTAAGTGTGGCAATTCGGGAAAAAAAAATTGTCGGTCAGATAGCTCAGCGGGCTGTGCGGCTGCCTCTCTTTCGCTTCACTGTCGAATGGGTCAGTGGATGTGGGTTCGAGCCCCAGCTCGGTGTACTGAAAATAAAAAGTCTAACGCAGCAGTTTAAAATTCTAGATGAATCTGCGGCTTAGACTAGGATATGCTGGGATCTGATCGGCCTATGGTGGAGCAGTACGGCAAGAGATAAGGGCTTGCGGCTTGGTAATACTCCTCCATAGATCCCTACCGGACGGGCGTAACGCCTAAAAAACCGGATATATATAATTCGGGAAATTACATCGGTAACTCCTGTTCTTCTTCTTAAGTCTTCATTTCTTACTCGGTCACGAAGCGATATACTCATCATTGACCTTTTCATTTTCCTCTAAGCTATTTGCAGCGTTTTAGAACTTTTCGGCACCATAGGTCATCAAAGGCAATACACATTGGTCAAATTTTTTACGTTTTAAAGATATTGGTATATCGCTTTTAAAGATGTCTTCGAGTTTTCCATAGGCTGCCCATGCTAGGTTTAATCTTCTTCGTAGTTCGCATGTTTGGTTGTCTCTTGTGGTCTGGAAAGTGGTATTTATACAAACGGTATATTACAAAAAAAAATTTATCAACCATCAACTTTCGAAGTTCTTTCGAAGTTAATTAATTTTTCTTCAGTTGGAAAAACGTTTCTTGTCTTATTTCAGATAAACCTGAAGATGTTCTAGGAGCGAAAGTACTTGGGCAAGATTTAATAAAAACTGTGGTCGACATATGCCTTTTTATTTGTTAAAAAAAAATAAAACTATGGAAACCATCTGTGAAAGAAAAACGTTTAACTATTAGTGAACAAAAACAACTAAGATGTTCGCTTCAAAACAAAGTTACTACAATAAGTAGGATGATTACTTTGGATGGTTTATTGGTGCTACAAAAAGAATAAAATTAAGAACTAATATATTAAGGGAAGTCTACGGTGGCACTAATTGATGCGAAAATAGGGAGCACGTGTTAAGATGGTTAGGATATATTCAATACCGAACTGATAATCATCCAATAACACAGTAGAGAAAAAAGACAAAAAAATTGGTGAGAAACTATCAGGCAGGTTACGTCTGGGGTAAGGGAATTGATACTATCATGACTTCAGATGAAATTCCTAAGAAACTTATAGTAAAAGATAAATAAAAAGCCAACCTTGCATAGGATCAAACCTAAGGGAATGATAATGATAAAGTTCTATTTATAATTTTTAGATTTTTCAAATTCAATTGATTTACGGCAATACACTTTACTCTTCCTTGTCTAGATAATAAATAAATTTTAAAACTTTTTGAATTTTTTATTTTAACTTGTTTTATTTTTTAAATTTATACAGAGATGATGAAGGAAAACCATTCGTTTTACAAAGCGTTCGCAAGGCAGAATTAAAAATAATGTGCAAAGATATGGATAAAGAATATGCAGGCATGATAGGAAATCAAGTATTTGGAAGAAAAGCCTTTGATTTGGCAATGGGAGAAGGTAATGAATTTTCAGAATGTGGCCGAGCTGTTTTTTGTCAAACTATTTCCGGATCAGGAGCAATTTGTATAGTAGGTGGATTTTTGTCTAAGTGGTTTGAACGAAGGGTAGTTTATGTATGTGAACCCACCTGGCCCAATCATCATGGCATTCTTCGGTATGCTGGATTGTGTACGAAAACATACAGGTAAATGTAAAGTAGGTTTTTCTTTTCCTAAGTGCCTTTGTTAATAAAGTTGGCAATTATCACTTTAACTTCCGAAATAACTGTTCGGTTGTTTTGAGCTATATTATTTTAGATCATTAGCTAAGATATCCGACTTCTGTCCACTCACATTCTGCTCTCTATTTTATCTTGAATTATATATCTATCTCTATTTTATCTTGAATATATATATATATATATATATATATATATATATATAGGGTGAGCATATCATGTGGCCACTAAAAAATGTCAACTCCTCTTCTTTATTAATTAACAGGGTGATTAGTGTAATTGACCATTTATTTCATTTTACTGTAGAGTTTATACGGCTCATTTGATTTTTTTAATTTTTGCATGATACAGTATACTACTATTAAGCATTCGACTGGTATTAGCTGAACTAAAAAATTCCGGGACTGGCTTTGGAAAAATTAATTTAGGGATTCGTATTAAATATTACACCCTGTACATATATATATATATATATATATATATATATATATATATATATATATATATATATATTTTAAAATGCAATAAGTGATTTTCAACCTACATAAATAGCCAATGAAAACGACATATGCGAAAATGTTGTCGCACTTTTATTAAATTTTTAGTGAACGATCAAATCTTACCAAAAATAGAACAACCAGTATCAAATGAAGTATCAAATTATAAGGTATCAATTTAAACAAATGTTATAAATTTCAAACATTTTAATTAAAATGAGTTCCTACAACATAATCTAATATGTAGAAAATTAACATCTTTACTGTCACTTTGTATTATCTCTACGATAGAATCAATTGTTTTTCAATTTTAAATTTTTACTTATAGATCGTATTGGGGCATTATTTTCGATAAATAATAAATTAAATTGATTAAAAAGTCAAACCTCTTGTATGTGTTAGTTTTTGTTGATTGTAAATGATTAAAATTTTATGTCAAATAATAATACAGTGCATCAACTGTACTAAATAAAAATAAATTTAAAAAAGTTTAAAATGAAGGTTGGCGTTGACCGTTTGACGTTTCTTGATATTTTATACCCATTTTATTTTATACTTGATATTCATGTGTACAAGAATACATATTTCTTCTGTCATATCTACGTTAAGTACATTGTGTTAGTTTTGGTAGAGCTTTTGTTACTTTCGTTCAAAATGCCACATCAATTTTTGGACCACAGATTATGCAGACATAATATTTGTTTATGGATTCTGTAATGGGAATGGTAGGGCTGCTAGTAGAGAATATCGCAGGAGATTTCCTAATCGTGTAACTCCCAGTCATCCAACATTTGGGTTAGTTTTTAATTATTTGCGAGAAAATGGCACTTTTCCTAGTGGAACAACAGAGCACCATGTATATGAAGCATTAGACAAGTAAGTCGAGAACTCAATGTTACTCAATCAAAAGTAAGTAGAGTCTTACAAAAAAATAATATATACCCACAACATTCAAATGTTTCAGCGACTACATGCTGGAGATGAGATCGATAGGTTGGAATTTTGTAGATGGATTAACAATAATCGACTAACGCTATACAGGACACTATTTACAGATGAAGCCCAATTTACCAGAGACGGGATAAATAATTCACGAAATTCACATGTGTGGGCAGAAGAAAATCCCCATGCTATTCGAGAACGTCGTTCTCAGTTAAGGTTTTCGGTTAACGTGTGGATTGGTGTCATAAATAACCAATTGGTAGGTCCTCACTTTTTTGATGGTCCTTTAACAGGGCAGGTCTATTTGAACTTTCTACAAAATATTTTGCCGAATTTGCTTGCCAACGTGAACGTTGCTATCCGAGGGATGTCTTTTCAGCATGATGGGGCACCCCCACACTTTTTACTGGCAGTGAGACAACATCTCAATAATGTTTATGGCAACAGGTGGATAGGACGTGCAGGTCCTATTTCGTGGCCTTCAAGATCCCCTGATTTCAATCCCGTTGATTACCATATTTGGGGACGATTGAAGCAACTAGTTTACGCAGTGAATATTAATAACCGACAACAATTAATTGATAGAATTATACATTGTTGTAATACTATTAGAAGCGATCCCCAGAGTATCCGTAATTCAATACGTCAATTAACAATTTGGCAACAAAAATGTGTACAGGCTGCAGGGTTCCATTTCGAAAATCTATTTTGAATTATTTTTATTTTGTTACCATTATTGTATCTTTTCCAGTTCTAATTTATGGGTTTATCATAACATCATATTATTATCATAATGTAGATATTTTTAGTTTTTTTTTTTAAATTGTTCTTCGTTATTGTTAGTAGTTACTGTTTTTTGTTGTGCAGTGACTCATTTATCATTTCAATTAAACTGTTTGAAATTTATAACATTTGTTTAAATTAATTACCTTATAATTTGATACTTCATTATGGTTGTTCTATTTTTGGTAAGATTTGATCGTTCACTAAAAATTTAATAAAAGTGCGACAACATTGTCGCATATGTCGTTTTTATTGGCTATTTATGTAGTTTGAAAATCACTTATTGCATTTTAAAAATATATACAGGGTGTTATATTTAATACGAATCCCTAAATTAATTTTTCCAAAGCCAGTCCTGGAATTTTTTAGTTTAGCTAATACCAGTCGAATGCTTGATAGTAGTGTACTGTATCATGCAAAAATTAAAAAAATCAAATAAGCCGTATAAACACTACAGTAAAATGAAAAAAAAATGGTCAATTACACTAATCACCCTATTAATTAATAAAGAAGAGGAGTTGACATTTTTTAGTGTCCACATGGAATGCTCCCTGAGGGACTCTACAAATTGTAGAACTATGTAAAGTTCCTCATGACTCACCCTGTATACATATATATATATATATATATATATATATATATATATATATATATATATATTTAACAACTTTCATCTGATGATGCCAATGAAAATTGGCGAAATATAATGAACTGTTGAACAGAGTGCACTTGGCTTTTAATCAGCTGTATACCCAATTAACCTCAACTCCCTTTTTATATATTTATATTTATGTATATATATATATATATACATATATATATATATATATATATATATATATATATATATATATATATAGGGCTATAAACGGTTATACTTATAGCGAAATTTGGAGGGAGAAAATAAGCGGACGTAGACTCCTCAACTAGTTATAATAGGTGACGTAATAGTGTTAGATGACGTTACAGAGTCATTGTGATCGGTCATTTTACATGGGACCTTATGGCATGTGATATCTCGTTTAAAATATATTGAACATACCTATTTAATTATTATACCTATTTTTTTTGTTTAAGCTAATTTCGATGAATAAATTAAATAAATACTAAAATTATAGTTTCGCATTGAATTAATAAAGATTCTCACATAGCCTGGAGATTTGTCAGAAAAGTTGACTTTTTCAATTCTTAATTTGTTTTTACTTTGATACGTTTTTGCAAAAAAAATTATGCCTTGAAACTTAATTTAATTACTGTTTCTTAAGACGTGGTACGTATATATTTTAATAGGCAGAATGGTACGTACTGTAGCCAACAAAGTAGCAGTTGTCTTAATAATATTGGTGAATGTAAAAACAATTTCCATACAGCGTAACGTCTTTTTAATGAGAGAAACCCTGACCGCCCTTTATCCAGGACTTATTTGATAAAGTTTCTTTAGCAGTTTGAAGAAACAGGTCGTGTTCAAAATGCCAAACGATCTGGTCGACCAACAATTCCTCCTCCTCCTCCGTCCTAATCCCTTTTGGGATGTGGTGACACCATTAGGCCTTCACAGTTTTTTTTTCGATTTTCCTCCATCCTTCTATGTCCTGGGCTAAGTGTTCGGCTTCGTGTATCCCTTGGTTAATCAATATTTTTGTTTGATCTACCCAACGGCTTGGAGATCTTCCCCTAGGTCTCTTTCCTTCAACTCTACCCTCGACAGTTTTTCCACCGTGCTTGTTCTTCTAGCAATGTGTCCAAAATACTGCAAATATTTTTATTGTAATTGTTTAAGCAATCTAGACCAACAATTACTCATGACAAAAAATTGACATTGCAAAAATCGTAATGAACCCTACTTCTTCTACAGGCCAAGTTGCATCTATCTATGGAATCAGTTACACCGAGTATTTTCCAAAAACAAATTTCCTACATACAAATTAAAAATTGAACACCAAGCACCATTTGAAATGATTACCATGATCAAAAACTTGAATTCTGTAAAAATATGTCCAATCATATTAACTAAAAGCCAGATTACATAAAAAAAATTTGTTTGAGTGGCAAAAGTACTTTTTTCCCCAATGTAAATATTAACACCCACAATGTGAACTATTGGAGTAACTCAAATCCTCACGTCTTTAGTGACTATGTAGTGAACACACTCAGTCTCCAGAGAAAGTTTATGTTTGGACAGGTATCTTGCAAAACCATATAGTTGGGCCTGTTTTTCTCAATACAATGTATTTGTAGATATTACAAAACGCAATTGAGCCGTTAATTCTTGAAATTCTGAAAAATTCAGATAAATTCGGTAACTTGAAAATAATGTTTTAACAATATAGTGATCTTGCACACTATTATGGTACAGTAAGACGTTACCTACATCAGGTATATCGTAGGATATGAATTGGACGAGGAGGTTCTATAGAATGGCCAGCTCGGTCACGGAATCTCAGACCATTAGATTGTTTTCTGTGGGGTACCTAAATCTAAGGTTAATGTTACGTTCAGTTCGAGCTATCTTCTTCTTCTTCTTACGGTGCCTTATCCTTAAGGACGTTGGCTATTACATTTGCCCATTTAATCTTATTTGTAGCAGCCCTGAATAGTTCTATGGAGGTCATGTTCGTCCATTGCCGTAGGTTTTTAAGCCAAGAGTTGCGTCTTCTTCCTGGTCCTCTTTTGCTATTGACTTTGCCTTCGATTATAAGTTGGAGCAGTTCATACTTTTGATTTCTTATGATGTGACCAAAATATTGTGTTTTCCGTTCTTTTATTATAAGCATAAGCTCTCTTTCCTTATTCATCCTCCGCAAAACTTCCGCATTTGGAACTTTTTCTTTGGAACTTGGATTCTTTTTTGTGTTGCTTCTGTCATTGTCCAGGCTTCAACACCATAAAGCAATGTGGAGAAAACATAGCACTTAAGTATTCTATTTCTCAATGAGATGCCCAGCTGGCGGTTGCATAGAACTTTTTGCATTTTGTAAAACATTGTACGTGCCTTTTCCAGGCGTATTATTATCTCTAGTGAGTGGTCCCAAGTTTCATCAAGATTACTTCCAAAGTACGTTGTTCTTGTTACTCTTTCCAGATCTGTTCCGTCGACATTGACCTTCACCCTTCTGTTTTGGTGCTTGCTGATCATCGTTTTTGTCTTCTTTGTATTCAATTTCATTCCAAATTATCTACAGGCTGTCGTTCCTCGGTCCATTAAGCGTTGCAGGGCTTCAGCATTATCTGCCAGTATGACAGTGACATCAGCATATCGCAGGTTATTTATACATTGCTCGTTTATAACTATACCATCCAAGGTGCCTTCCAACGCTTTCTGAAATATCTTCTCAGAGTAAACATTAAACAGCAAAGGTGATAGGACACATCCCTGTCTTACTCCCTTCTCGATATTGATTTTTCCAGATGTTTCGCTTTTTATTCTGATTTTAGCCTTTTCTTCTTGGTAGAGGTTTGAAATGATCCTCAAGTCTTTATCGTCGATATTACATGACCTTAAAATATATATTAGTTTATCATGTTTCACCACGTCAAACGCTTTCTGAAAGTCTATAAAACACAAGTATACATCAGAATCGACATCTCTACATCTTTCAACTAGCACACGTATTGAAAAAAGTGCTTCTCTTGTTCCCGAACCCATTGTTAAAACCAAACTGAGCTTGACCAGTGTGTTGGTCTAGTTCGAGCTATCAAAAAATAAAACTAAGTCAGTTTTGTAAAAGTTACAAATAAGTCAAACGGTTTCATAGCGCCTACCGTCTCTCCATTCTATTCTATTTTTCTGTTAGAATACAAGTACTTCCCCGAAGTTTTTCTCACTCATTGCCTTCTTATTGCTAGTCCAGCTTGTTTTGGATCTTTTACGTTTCCTCCTCTTGACTGGTTTTCAATTCCATGCAGATTTCGGAATTCTCTACTAATTCGTTCGGACTACATGTCCAAGTCCACACTATTGCAATTTTTGTTGTTCAACATCTTCCACGCTCCTAACTTTGTCTCGTCATAATATTCTGCATGATCTTCGTCATACATTAGGCATGATTTGTCACATTGAATAACTAGCAGTCTACCTTTTTGCCAGAGTTATTAAAAAGCACTTTTTCAGTTTTCGTTGATATTAGATTTCCACCAACGCTGTTACTTCCCGATACTATGCTTAGATTTTTTTTTTCATTTTAATAGTTATTTACGTTTTCTAGTTCAGCAGTTTGTTATCATTTCTTAATGCTACGATTTATATCTTTAGGGGTCTAGGTTGGTACAGCTTGTCTAATTTATTTTCTCAGTTATTATATTTAAGCTGGATCTGTGTCTTATTCAACTCCTATTTTATGCTAAGTTCCATTTAATTTTCAACCAATAGTCAACATTTAAAATATATTTTTTTAGATATTTTGTTTTGTTGGTTATTTTTTAAACCTATTAAGGAGCTAACACAGTATTTTCCGTATTAACAACGTTACATGGACGTAACATAACTAATTTTTGTCCATCCTGTCCATCCATAGTGACTATTCATTGACACCATCTTAAATATGCGTTCTAAAGCCGATACGAACTTGTGTATAATAAATAATGTTTATAATTAGGTACTACAACTATAAAACACTGGCCCTGGACTTCGAATGTTTGAAGGAAGATTTGCATAAAATACCCAGTAGATCCATAGTGTTGTTTCACGCCTCAGCCCATAACCCTACAGGAGTTGATCCCACACCCGAGCAATGGAATGAAATAATAGCTATCTGTAAAGAGAAGCAATTTTATGTTATTGTTGATTTCGCATATCAAGGTTTTGGTTCGGGAGATCCCGAGTTCGATGCATACCCTGTGCGACAGTTTGCTAAAGCTGGGATTGGTATGGCCGTATGTCAAAGTTTCTCCAAAAATATGGGTAAACGTTATATACTTTCATAAATTTAATATTTATTTAGTAAACTATACTTACATAATATATTTTACTTTTAATATTTATACACAATATTTACTATAAATAATGAATGTGTAGTTTTTTGGATCTTACCTTGTTCGTACTTTTTCATTCAACAAAATATGTTTTTAAACAATGCTATTTCGTAAATGCTAAAAACCAATGTCTTCTTAGGTTGCGTTCATTAGGGTGCGTTCATTACGGAGACCATCGCATGCTATCTTCGCCTAGAACATAGCACTAACAGTGAACGCTCGCATTTAAAATAATGCATTTATTTCACATGGCGATGATAATATGATACCATCCTATGGTCCGATCGAGGGTCGGCGCCTCGTTATGAACGCACACTTAGTTTGTACGTTTAATTTGGTATTTCTTGTTTTGGAAACATTTAAAAATTTAAAGCAAAAAGTAAATATTGGAAGATTTCTACTTGTTCGAAACCAAAATTCAGATTCTCATCTTAATATGTGTCTTCTACGATTTACAAAGCAAGCAGACGATGAAAAGGTCGACATGGGAAATCTAAAATTGCACTCCACATCATATCGATTCATCTAAGCAAGAACCTTTGATAAACTGGCTTTTAATACTCAAAATAGAGTAAATAAAGACATAGGAAAGACAATAAAGTCACGTACAGTGCCTCTGTATGCCTAAGCCTAACAAAACCAAGATAAACATTAGGAAATTAAAGGATCCCAACATTAAACAACAAGTACAGGAATCCTTAAGAAGAAACATTGGAAACTTGAGTGAACCCGCACAAGACGCAGTTGCTAAATGGGAAGAAATAAAAAGAGCTGTTGAAATGACAAACAAGACACTTCTGTTACAAGAGCGCGTAAAGAAGAAAGAATGGATGACGGATGAAATCCTTGATATGATGGAAGAAAGAAGACAACACAAATGCAAAAATCAAGTGAAGTATCAAGAAACAAGTCACAATATAAAAACAAAGATAAAGGAAGCGAAAGAACGGCTGAAGGAGGAATACGATGAAATCGAAGAGTGCGACAGAAGATATCACTACCACAACATACACAAAACGAACAAAGAATTAACAACTAAAAAGAAAACCAATAATCCCCACCCGACACTAATAGACGCAGACGGTAACCTTATATCAGACGACTTGAAGCTCATTGACACATGGAAAGATTACGTAGAACTACTTTTTAACGATAAACGCAGAGCGACAGTGGACCAAGATGACGACATGACTGGACCCGAAATACTAAGGTCTGAAGTGGAAAAAGCCATTTCATCGCTAAAAAACGACAAAACACCCGACAACATACAGGGCGAGATCATAAAACTTCTATGCGAAACGGAGGACCACTTCCTCGATTTTTTGACAGGCCTTTTTAACACCTTTTACGACAAGGGGGAGATTCCGGAGGAATGGCTTCGATCGACCTTTGTAGCCATACCTAAAACACCAAGTGCAAAACACTGTTATCAACACCGCTTGATATATCGCTTGATATATCAATAGAATATATAACAAATGCGAAGCAAATATATCGGAGTCACAGTTCGGATTCCGAAGCGCATTGGGCACAAGAGAGGCGATCTTCAGTCTGCAAGTTTTAATTCAAAGATACAGAGACATGCACAAGGACGGCTATTTGTGCTTTATCGACTTCTCCAAGGCGTTTGAGAAGGTCAAACATGATAAACTCATGGAAATGCTCAGGAAGATGCATATTGATGGCAAGGATCTGCGCATAATAACCAGTCTCTATTGAAATTAAAGTGCTGAGATTAAGATGGGCAACTTACACAGTGGGAAGATAGATATTAAAAAGGGTGTACAACAGGGATGCGTCCTCTCGCCGCTCCTGTTAAATATATACTCTAAACAAATCTTTAGAGAATCACTGGTAGAAGTTTCGGAGGGTATCAAAGTAAACGGAGAGGTAATCAATAATATTAGATATGCTGACAATACAGTTATTATCGCAAATGACTGCAACGAGCTTCAAAGACTTATGCAAAGCATACACACAGCAAGTCAAGAATATGGTTTAAAACTCAATACAACCAAAACTAAATGCATGCTCATCAGCAGAACACAACAACCTCCGATACAATTGACATTAAACAACCGAAAAATAGAACAAGTGGAGACATACACATACATTGGAACTACAGTCAACACAAAATGAGACCAGTCAACAGAAATAAGATCACGAATTGAAAAAGCGCGAAACGCGTTCAACAATATAAAAAAGTGATTCACAAGCAAAATCTCAATGGAACTAAAATTAAGACTGGTCAAGTGTTATGTTTTCCCGGTCTTGTTCTATGGAGCAGAGGCATGGACCACAACGGAAGCCACCCTGAAGAAACTAGAATCCTTTAAGCTGTAGATATATCGCCGTATTCTTCGGATATCCTGGACAAACCACATCACTAACGTGGAAGTAATGCAGAGAATAGGCAAAAGCAAAGAAATAATCTTCACCGTAAAGAAACGGAAGCTTGAGTACTTCGGACATGTCATGAGGCATTCTAAGTACCGGCTGCTACAGTTAATAGTCCAAGGAAGAATCGACAGTAGGAGGGGACCGGGAAGAAGACGACACTCATTGATGCATAACCTGCGACAATGGTTCGGACTAACATCGACCGAACTGTTCAGAGGTGCCGTAAACATAAAGTCAAAATAGCCTTGTTAATAGCCAACGTCCGAAACGGATGGGGCAAAGGAAGAAGAAGAAGAAAGTGCATCTACAATTCGCTTATACGTATTTCATTCTTTTAGGACTCACTAAAAATGCCAATATTTCTACTACTTCGAAACCAAAATTCAGATTACATTTTACTTTTAGGTTTCAAACAAGCAGAAATCTTGGATTTTTAATTTTCGCTTTATGGTTAGATGTCACCGTATGCGTCTTTAGGAAGTTATTTAATTGTTACTTCTTTTGATGGAAAAGATTTGATTTCACGTTCAATGCTGCCTACTTAGTCGCACTGATGAGTCCTGAAAGGACAAAATACATAAAAGCTAATTGTAGAGGCATTATACGTGAAATCAAATTTTATTTGTCTTTTCTATGTCTTAATTTCTTCTCTTCTTCTCTTTTATAAACAATTTCATTATGTCAATCAATGATGTCCGATATTTCTTCTGCCAATTGGTGACGGGTCTCCCCCATTCTCCTTATGTTGTTATTCCATTCTTTTTTTTATTTAGTGTCCATTCGTATATACCCTGTAGGTTACAATTTCCTCTAATACCTTCACTTGTCTTTTAATCTCTCAGCGTATTTCCTGTAATTCTTCTCAGCACACTCATATCTCCCGTAGGATGAGAGTTTTTCCAGTAGCCTTTGTGTTGTGGCTGTATCGGATCTTATTTCTGAGGCATACGTCATTATTATTCTTGCAATGGCTTTATAAATTCTTGACTTCATCTCAGTGTATATGTCTCTCTTTCGCCATATAGTGTTATTAGGGCATCCTGCCAGTCTATTTGCTTTTTGTACTTGATCCCTCACTTCTTTGTTCAGGTCTCCATAGCTAAACAGTGTATTTCCAAGGTATTTTATGTCCATTAGGTGCTCAATACTGATGACATCAATTTTTATTTTACTATCTGGTTGGTTCTTTGCTGATTACTATTATTTTAGTTTTCTGAGATAAGATTGTCAAATTAAACTCTTTTGCTCTTATTTTAAATCTGTGGATCATGCTTTGCAGAATGTATTCATCTTGGGCTAACAATATTGCGTTGTCTGCATAACAGAGTATTTTTGCTCTTCCTCTTTTTCCTCTTGCAATTGCAATGTTCAATTGCAAAAAAAGTGTGCAATTATTTTTCAACTTGTAGTTATCAAATTTCTTTGATAAAAAAAAAATAATTGCACACCCACACAATTTGTACATCTAAACTTATTCATTGTCATAAAACTGTCACCTTCATAAAACAATTACTCAATAAATAACACACCTTTCATAATTATATCTCTCGAATAAGTATAAATAACTTTTAATAATACAATTGTATATTACATCACTTTCATTTAACAAACAATCACACACATATCTCTGCTTCATTGGATCAAATCTATCTCCTCAAGAACTTCCCGTTTACTGTCAAACAACTACAATAGCATAATTGAGTTCTCCATTCAACAATGCATAGTAGTTTCAACCATGTTCTACAATCCATCAAATAATAGAGTACCGGCATCATTTATTTAACTTTGTATCGAGACCTGAAGATGTTTTGCATATTGTAGAAAGTGAAACCGGTCGTCTGATAGTTAAATTAAATTGATTGTGAGTAAGTCTTATTTATTATTTCTTTACCTATTTTAAATTATTTTTAATTCCCTTTACCCATGTGGATGATACGCCGATGATCGTGTGTACGATTAGAAATGTTCATGACGGAAGAATTTACCTACCAAAATAGCACGGAATTTCACATAGAAATTAGTTTTAACGAGAGGTTTTTAATCCTTTCCTTCTTAATCCCGAGTATGAAAGGAACTAATGTTTTCGCTGAAGGCGGGTTCTTTTTCATGAATTCGGTAATTGTCTTCGAACGCACGTAGTAATGCTTTTCGGTGAAGGAGTGTTCCTTTATGATAGATTTGTAAATATTCTCATGATCTTTGAGTGGGAGACATCCCCTCTTTTTTTCTTGGGTAGTTTGTAAAATTTTAGAAAAAGCAAGTTACTTCTCGGTGGGCTCTCGTTGAGTAAAGGCTCACATGATCTTATCTGTTATCTTACCTTCTGTGAATTGTTTTCTAAGTGTGCATACACTTTATATTTGAGTTTTCTTTTCTTATACTATATTAGATTATATATAGTTCTAAAGTATCTTTAATGTTAATTAAAGTCAGTGTTGGATACAAGTAAAGTATTAAGTACAGTATATAGCTTCAGTGAAGTAACAAGTGCAGAAGTCGTCAAAATTTACTGTAATTAATCATTATCTTCAAACTATCTGGGCGAGTAATATGGTATGGTTTCATATCATCTGCCATTATCTGGACGTATCTAAAGTTCCTCCATGTCTTCTCCTGTAGATTGCTGATTTTTGCATTCAATTTAAAGAACATTTCAATAGATTCAAGAAATTTCAATAAGTAATAATTATGATGTGACGTCCTCTCGTAGGAGTCACTATCCGGGTAGCTTTTGGACAGTCAGAGACAGAGTTCAAAATAAAAATAAAACTTTATTGTCTTCCTTAAATTAAATTGACAAAAATCTTATGTACATATTTACAATTTAGTTTAGTCTTCTCAGTACCTGGCCTATTTATTCAGATTAAGTTTGACCTTGTCGTATGAAGTTCGTCTTATCGGCAATCGAGTGTGTTTTCGGAATTTTACGTGAACGTTGTAATAACAGCGGACGATAGGTACAAAGAAAAGAAAGGAACTCAACACGTCCCTTAAGTGATTCGGGTTAATAGGACACTCCTCGACAGTCTCAACACGACTGCTTCGTAGTACGGGTAATGGAGAGCTCAACACGCTCTCCGGGTGGCGGTATGGAACGGAAACAACTTGTGAACTCAACACGTCCACAAGCCGGGGTAGGGAAGAAGAGAACCTTCAGTCAACACCTGACGATTCTGCCTCTATGAGGAAATAATGCGGTTTATATAGCAAAGTTTTGCCCTTTCTACTGTCGATACACTCCTACTTCATGGGTTGGTTCGCGCGCACGCTGGTTTAACGGTGATGGCTTGGACTCATCGTTACAATGATCAGTTGATATCATCACGAAAAAACACGAGAAAATGTTTAGAAAGCATGGGTAATATGTAACTAGAAAAGGGTTATACTGGAAGCCAGCCAATAACTAGAAAGAAGAAAAAGACCTTACTAGCCTTACTGAAGACAAGAGTGTCTTATCAATTAACACTGATTTCTACAGACATTTAAATCATTGTTAATCATAACCTTTCCTATTATTATCAATATTTTCCTTATAGATGTTAATAAACACATTTTCTCAAGTAACTCGTAGTATTCTTTATTGAGTCTTTATTTCAATTAATAGAAATAACACAAAAATGCCAGTTTTTTTCTTGTCTTAAATACTCTTGAAACACAAGATGTTAATGTGCAATGGTGGCACAACTGAAAATAAGGGTTAAATTTAAGAGGTTTGCATTACTATTCATTAAAGGCTACCTAATGCTCTCTCAAAAACATCAACATCTTTTTTTTTTCAAAAATTCCAATCCATGGAGTAAAACAAATAAAACAAAACTATTGACACTCGTACTTTAAACATGTGCTTTGGAAAATTACCAGTTTTGTGTTGTGCTACTATTACATACAACCGATGATATATTACATTTCTTTTGCTTTTAAATAATTCACATCGTACCTAAACTGTTAATTTTTATTAACTTCTTATTGTTAATAATTAGCTTCTGTTGTTTTCTAATGAATTAGCTAAATCTTTTGAAAAACTTACTTAATTTCTTGTTATAGTTTTTATCAATTTTAGACTATACTTGTAAAACCATATAAAATATGCATTTCAGGACTTTATGGAGAACGAACTGGTCTGGCCACTTTCATCTGTGATTCTCCAGACGAAGCAAAGCGAGTGGAGTCCCAAGTAAAACTAATAGCCAGATCTTTATACTCAAATCCACCAATTAATGGTGCTCGAATAGCGCTAGAAATTTTATGCGATAAAGAACTCAAAAAATTATGGCTCTCAGAACTCAAACAGATGGCAGCGAGAATCAAGTGGACCAGAAAAACTTTAAAAGAGGGAATAATCAAAGCTGGGTCAAAATTGAATTGGGATCATATAACCAACCAGATAGGAATGTTTTCGTACACGGGTATAAAGCGACCAGCTGTACAGAAAATAATAAAGGACTATCACATTTATATGATGGAAAACGGAAGAATATCCATGTCAGGACTTAATTCTAAAAATATCGGTTATGTCAGTGACGCTTTTCATAAAGCCACATCTGACAAAAAGTAAATATTACCGTGATAGACTTTTTGTATTAATAAAAAAAACGTTTTGTATTAATAAAAAAAACGTTTTGTATTAAAAATTAAATTTTTGCTATTTTTCGTACGTGTATTACTGAGTTAACTTACGCATTTTTCTTTTTCTTTTTCTTTTTCTTTTATAAATAATTTTAAATAATAATTTTTTTCTGACATAAAAATTTTACTTCGAATGAACCGAATGTACAGGGAGCGCACGTACAAAGCACTTACCGTGTTATAGACTCCGACAAAGTTTAGTTTGGGAATATGACTCATAAATGCACAATGCGCATTGGTTCTTGTTTACTAGTGTTACCATAGAAACGGCCAGTTTACTATTTGCCAGTGTCGTAGTTGTGTATCGCAGAGAGTGTTTGACTTGTTGATTTGATCGTGTTGGATATTTTATTATTTTATTTTATATTAGTGCTTAGTATCATATTGATAGTAGTAATTAGTGAATTATTAAGTTATTTAGTGTATTTATAGTGTGTTAGGTTTAGTTATTTAACAATATGGCTTCTAAGAAGATAGGAACAAAAGGGCTGAGATTAACTAGCCCAGCAAAGGCAATAATTTATAATGTTACTACATTTATGGAACAAGAGGCGGCATAGTTCGAAGCAACCGAAAACCTGTTAATACCTTTAAGGAAATTGACGTACGTATTGTCAATTATATTTTATATTCTTATGTGTGTGTGAAAGATATAACAGATATAACGAGTTCATCGGCCACATAATGTTTTATTTATGTTTAAAGATATTTTTTGTTCTTGTTTGTTCGTTTTTTTTTCTTGATATATTTATAAATCACTGAAGTTATACTTATTTATAATTTATATTTCTACTTTCACATTTAAATGTAAAGTGGGGTGTATCTGGAGATATGTATTTTGCCAATTTTCAACAATATTCTCCCATTGCTGTTTCTATTTCAGTCTAATTTTTCATTCCCTGGTATATCTACATGGCCTCTAACCCAAATAAATGTTATATTTAAATTTACAATCATGTTTATTAACCAACATAACATAGGACATTTCATTCCTTCAAATTTTATATTTTTTGAGTATGTTTTTGGATATTAACCATGTTATATATTGAGTATGTTCTTGCATGTTAACCAGGTAGTACAGGTTTCTAGTAAAAACACTGATATAGATACATTTTTAACAAAAACGGTAGATACAATTCCTTTACATTTTTACTTACTTAGTAAACAAGATTTACCTTCCAAACATTTTAACTATTTCAATTTATTTAAGGTATTTATCAAAAACTAAAGAACAAAGAAATGGGATTTCCATTCTTCTTCTTCTAGTTCCATGACCGTTATCGATCGTTGGATATCTTGTTGGCTACCATATTCGCTATCGTGACTTTATTGACAGCAGCTCTAAATAACGATGTAGTTGATTTTCCATACCATTGCCTTAGATTTTTCAGCCATAATGTTCTTTGTCTACCAGGAGCGCGATTACCTTGGATCTTTCCCTGAATGATCAGATGTAAAAGATCATATTTTTCAGGGTGTCTCATAATGTGACCGAAGTATTCCAGCTTGCGTTTCTTTATTATATTGACCAGTTGTGTTGTTTGGCTCAGCCGTCTAAGGATCTCCTCATTTCTAACTCTGTCGACCCAGCTTATTTTCAGTAGTCGTCTGTATACCCATGGGATTTCCATGGTTAAAGGAATCATTAAGGAAAATGATAATTGGGTTAGGCTTTAGGTAACACCGTAAAATAATTATTTAGCTGAACAAATAAAACTATAATGGATAATGTAATTTAAATTGATATTTTATTGGATTCGTTTTAGTTAAACTTATGATGAATATGAATAGTGCCTTTTCAAAAGTACTAAATATTTGGATAATCTATTTCTGTTCCGGTTTCCGAAAAACTGTAAACAACAAATACGATACGATTCTACATAATTTTTGTTTTTAACAGATAAATTGTTCTCACTTCTGTATGTTGTGATACATTTGAAATTTAAACCATCATACTTTTGAAAATATATTCTTCAAATTATCTTGAACAAATTACAGGTGGAGAACAAACGAAGACAATAGGAGTGTCCTAATGGAAAAATATGAAATTCTTTTAAAACGAGTAGAATATTTAAAGAAGCTAATTCAATTTCGATCTGAGGGTAGAACCATAGTTTATACCGACGAAACATATATACACGCCAGCCATACTCTACCATATCACTGGGCAGATCAAAGTGGAAAAACTTTAAAGAAATCAATTTACCCGAAATTATAAAAAATTATACAAGCCAATAAACCACGTTTTCCACGAGTTTATGTATTAGCATTTCCACAACATTTAACATAAATGATGTTGAAAATATAACAAGAACAAAATTTTCAGAAGTGTTAATAGAAGAGTGGTCTAACATATGTAAACGCATAAAAAATATGAAAACACTCAAATCGCAAAAGAACATTTATTAGACTCTACGCTGGACCACTTACAATTTTTATTAATACTGGTTCATCGAAGAAAGCCTTTCTGATAATGAAGATAGTGATTCAAATTCCGGGATAGCTGTGTTTTGTGTGATATTCCTTTGTCATATAACAAAACATAGAAGTGAAATGGACAGAAATAAAAAGATTTAAAAAAATTAACACCCTTCATGAGTTCTAAAATATCTTAAATGGATACAACATTTCGGAAAACCATACCGTCCAGGATCGTTTAACTATTATAATGCACTTTTTAGCTACAGGCGACTCCTATATTAGCTTACAATATTTATTTAAAGGCAAAGTGAAAACAACGCATATGTATTGTAACGTATTCAATAAAACAAACGGTCATATTTTATGTAAAAACTTACAGTATATCTTATCGAATAACTTACTCATAAGGTCATAAGAGAACCGCATTCATATTACGAATACATTATTCTACAATTTTTTTTCTCTTAAAACTGCTTCAACCACAAGGATTATTAGCAATGGTCGATTTTACAGATACCATAAAAAAATAAAGAATACAATTACATTTTGTTAATTAGTCCTGAGAAAACCAAAAAGAAGTATGGTACGATTGCGGTCACTATGTTTACTTAGAATGTCTTTTATTGTTGTAGGTAACTGTTCATATTAGGACACTCCACTAATAAGTGATGTACTGTTAGATGACAATCACACGCGTATCACAAAGGTTTGGGTTAAGTATTTCTGTAGTAGGAAATCATGTATGATCTTGGTGTGTCCTAATCGTAGTCTGGACATGAAGTTTTTAAGATTGTGACACGAATTTTCTTTGAAATGTGTTTCTTGGAAACATAGGATGAATGGATAAAATTTATTTATAAGAATTTTAAGATCCTCTAAATGGGTATGGTACCCATTTAGGTTCCATTGAATAATAGAATTAAAAAATAAGTCAATTAAAGTCTCTGCATAGGAATAATAGCTACGATCATCGGTAGAAATATTACTTAAAAGTTGTTCTGTAATTTTGTTTTTAATTCTAAATCAACGGGATTTAAAATATCTTGGACTTAACATAGGATGTATTTTCTTTAGAAAGTCTATCCTTCAATATCCTCCGAGTAAGTTCTGGCGACACTGAGAGGGTCTTAAGAACCATGCGAATTTTCAAAAAAGCCAATAAGTTCTTCCTGTGTTAAATATCCATTGTTAGAGTTTTCTTTAAAAAATTTACTGGTGCATCTTCTACTGGGCTTCTGCTGTCTTCTTGTTGAATTTTTGGTTTTTTGCTTCGTGGGTTCGGTTCAGCGCAGGCATTTTCGTTATCTCTTATTGGGTGGGGGAGGGGGTATATTATTTCACGTTTAGGGTGCTGGGATGAGGATGAATCTTGATCAAAGGTATCCATTTAAGTCTCATTGGTTAGGTCGCAGCTTATCGGAAGTTTCAGCCCCACTAAGAGAGGATTGTGTAGAAGAATTTATCGACAAAGGAGCTGATTATTGTACTGTAGTTTCAGTAGGACAGGATTGTGTAGAAAAAATTGTCGATAGGGGAGCTGATCGGTGTACTTCCTGTAAAGAGTTTGGATGTACATAATTTTGGGTGTTGTTTGAAGGAGTCTGATTATTTTTTTTTGACACTGAGATGGAAAATGTCCTTGCTGCTTGCATAAGTAGCTTTGTAATGTGGAAAAGAAAATTCGATAGTTGTTATCCTCATGGTTAATTAATATAGAATCAGGTAATTAGTCTAAGTTAGTTGGCGATGTAAAAGTGTATCGTCGGAAACTGAAGATATGCTTGAATGCTGGATTTGAAGTCCCTATCCTGAGATCAATTAGAGTTATTAGATGTACACTTAAGTTTTTCAGTTGTTCTTCTATAAAGCTGTGCGGAATACTTGAACATACGTTGGAAATAATCAATCGTTTATTTGGAGGTATTAGTCTTCGGGTTTGATTACGTTCATGATTAATTACTACAATTCCATTGTCGTTTGCTAAAAACTCATCTACTGTCTGTTCACTGGTGACGAAGATACAAATACGATCATTATAATTTTAAAAATATAATGTATTTTTCTGTGATCCACTTTAGAAGTTGCTGCATTAAGGTAAACTTCGATATTAGAGTTTGGCAGTGAGTGAAGTAGAATTGCTTGTTTTTTGTTTTGTTTAGAAATTTATTTGTAGATTGATTAAGAGCTGTAGAATATAATCTTGATGGTTGATTTACAAGTAGATTGCCAAAAATTTCCATGGTGGAAATTCCCGCTGCTGAGTCCATTTCGATGCTTGGGCTAAATAACCTGAATATGGAACTGGTGCTTATAATGAATCATTACCGGAAGGACTGGTAATTAACCCCATGCCAAATCGGCAAAATAGTTGTTTACCCTTCATTTGTTATAGATGAAATAGGAAAATCAAACTTACAGTTTTTAGTCCAGAAGAAGTAACACTTTTACACTGCACCTTTGCTTATATTTTAGATATAAACAAAATTCTACATTTGATTTAAAAAAATTCCTTATTTTGTCCAAACTAACAAGCTAATATTAAATATCAATTATTATCGCTAATTGCTGATATGTTTACTGC